GACCAGAGAGTAGCAGAGAGACTTAAAGGAGTGATATGCTTACTGGCTTAGTGTGCGATAGTCACCATGTCCCAGGTTAGGTGACTTTGGTCTGATCCAATGTTCTACAATTTATTAGGAGAGAGAGAGAGAGAGAGAGAGAGAGAGAGAGAGAGAGAGAGAGAGAGAGAGAGAAACAGAGACACAGAAAGAGACAGAGAGAGCATGTGCATGTGTGTGTGTGTTTGTGTGTGTGTTTGTGTGTGTTGTGGTTTGTGGTGAGTGTGGTGGGGGAGAAAAAAAAAGAGGAACTAAATGGAGAGAACAGAGACAGAACCATCAGTAAATCTCTGATCTCAGTTTGTGAGTCAGTAAAATTTTTGTCAAATGCAGTCAGTAAAATTTTGTCACATGAAGAGATGCAGCATTAGAAAGGGTCATGCTGTGACATGTTAGAAGCACAGGATTGGTAGCATTTTCCTGTGAAAAAGAGTTCTAATGGCCAGAAGGTGACAATTGACTGAATTTAGTGAAATGTTTTTATTGACCTATTTTAATCTGCTAGAGCTGCTGTAACAGAATACCATAAACTAGGTGGCTTAAATCACAGAAATTTATTATTTCTCATAGTTCTGGAGATCAGTGAGTTAAAGATTAAGATGGCAACAATTTCTGTGTCTGGGGAAGGCCCACTATTTAGTTCAGCATGATAGTTTTCTTGTTGCGTTCTCATGTGAAAGGTCATAAAGGACATTACAGTGTGTGTGTACGCACACACACCACACACACACACACACACACATACACACTGGGGGGAAATTCTCTGATGCATTGCTCAGAAGCTAGGGAGCCCCACTGGCAATTCTAAGTTAAATGGGTGATTATAAGAACTGTAATTCCATTTATGGGCTCTGCCCATGTGATCTAGACACCTCCCAAATACCCCATTCTTAATTCCATAACATTGGGGGTTGGGATATCAAATGAGATTTTGGGAGGAGAGAAACTACATTCAGTTTTTAACAACTGTTGTGCAAAATCTATGTATAATTTACTGTCGTGCAAATTCTCTGATCAAATAATTCCTTTGTAAATCCTAAAGTTAAAAAGAAATTTAGTCATTGCCTGAATAAAGAACTGTGCCTGGGTAGACTCTGCCAAGGCCTGGTACATGATGATAATTGTGAAAATTGTTTTAGACATGGCACTCAAGCAGGGACTCTCAATCATTCTTACATAGGGAAAAGGTGAGAAAACTGATGTGGGGGAAGATTTCAACTCAACTGGGCCTTTTTGACCTTGAAGTATTGGAAGGGCATTGTGCACACCTATTTATTTAGGTGCCTGAGAGCACAGAATTAAAATAAATTAGTACCAAAGCTCTGTGAACATTCTGATTAAGATCTACATATTAGAAAAGTTACAAAGCCGGAATGAATAGGGGGTTATTTTATCAGTCACTGGGGAAGTTGAGGTCAACTTTTTGACCTTATATTTAATCACGGTTTGGAAAGTTAGAGTTATTTTAAAGCATTGATTTCTTTAAAAAAAAAAAACCAAAAACTTTGAACCTGAAAAAACAGACAAAAGAGTATATATTATACTGGTCTAATGATTTATCTTAAGAATCTGTGAACTGTGGAATTGTGATTGTTATGACTGAGAGACACCTGCTCACCTTTCTGAAATGAGTTGCTGAAAAAATATTCTGAGATTTAGAAAGGGTAAAGGATACAATGTTGACCTTTTGGAGACAGGAAACCTTTGATGAACTATAGGACACCAAGACAGTTCATTTAAAAGATGGTTTCAAAGTATTATCCAAGGCTGGTTTTGTATGTGCATTGCTGAAACCCTCCGGTTATCTTTTTACATAAACGCAGGAAATAATGGCTTCCACAGTTGTTCATATTTTTGCAAGCCCTCATGTGGCACCTTCTGTGTTTTGTGACTACTTATCAATCTCTTTTTGTGGATAAAATTAAGCGCTCCTTACTATTTGACAGCATGGAACTTTCCTGTGATGGGCATTTAGAAGAAAGAGAGAGGAAAAGGTCACCAAAACCATCTTCATGTAATTAATGCTGTGTAAACAGCTAAATAAAATAGTTGCTAATGACATTTGTTTGATTCTATTATATGAGTCCTGAGTTCCTGCTCTGCTCTCACTTTGGACTCAGAAAAAAATAAAAGGTTAGCTGCTTATAAAGTAAAGGCCCTCCCGTTGATTTGCTCGAGTGGGCCCAGTAACGTCTCCATTGGAGACTTTGTTGTTACTGTGTCTGGCATATCGAATACTCTCGGTAGCTTGCCGGGCTCTCCGAGAGGGGCGGAGGAATCGAACTCGGGTCGGCCATGTTGGCTGCCTGCAAGGCAGACGTCCTACCCGCTGTGCTATTTTAGCTGCTTATACATAATACAAACTGTAAATCTTTGTTGCAAGTGATATAGTGTATGTGTCACGGTCCTCCCGTTATTCATCGATTTGCTCGAGTGGGCCCAGTAACATCTCCATCGTGAGACTTGCTGTTACTGTGTTTGGCATATTGAATATGTCACGGGGAGCTTGCCAGGCTTTGCTGTGTGGGCGAGATACTCTCTGTAACTTGCCGGGCTCTCCAAGAGGGGCAGAGAAATCGAACTCGGGTCAGCCATATTGGCCGCTTGCAAGGCAAACGCCTTACCTGCTGTGCTATCGCTCCAGCAGTGTATGTGTATACATTCAAAAATATTTTGAAGTATCTTGTTTATAACATCTGGTTTTAAACCACTATCATATTTTTGAGATTTAGTTTTATATCACTGCATTGTATTTTGAAATCTGTGTGTACTATGGGCTGGAGTGATAGCACAGTGAGTAGGGCGTTTGCCTTGCACTTGACTGACCCAGCCGACCTGGGTTCAATTCCTCCGTCCCTCTCAGAGAGCCCTGCAAGTTACGGAGAGTATCTCACTTGCATGGCAAAGTTTGGCACACTACCCGTGACGTATTCGATATGCCAAACACAGTAACAAGTCTCACAATGGAGATGTTACTGGGCCCACTTGAGCAAATCCATGAGCAACTGAAGGACAGTGGTACAGTGCTACAGTGTGTATGATGTTATGATCACCAACAAAAGTATACTTTCTATCCATGACTGTTCAGTTGATCCCTTTTACTTGTTTGGTCATATCCACTCCTCCTCCTCCCCTCATTTTAACCACAATTTTGTTCTTATCTAATAATTTGTTTTTGTTTTTGTTTTGATGGTTCATCTATTATGCTTCTTTATCTTTCACTTTCATAAGAGTGAAACTACACAGAAACAGACCAAACCAAGTGACATCTGATTTTTTCTAAAAATAGCTTAGTTGGGCTGTGGTTAGGCTTATGTGATCTCATTCCTTGTTTACATATGTTTGCTTCTCTCTCTGCTCACATGTGTATCTGTATAATTATGGGATTAGTGTACATGTGCACATATATTTGTGATTTTGTGGGAGAAGAATACGCAAGTATAGTTTAAAACTTACCTTCAAACTTTTATAGATTTAGTAATTGACTAAGATGCAGCATGTAATTAAGTAATGAATTTAACTACCTTAGCTCTTAAAGTGAAAGACCCTAAAAATCAAAGAAAATCTACAAAATTGGAGGATGGGTGTTAGTTGTGGAATTAATGGAATTGTCTGAATATATAATAGGAAGCTAACCATTTCTAAACAAGTTTAAATTTATATTATAAATCTTTGCCATTGAAAACAAATCTCAAGCAAAACTATCTTCATTTATTGAACACATTTTTTTAAAAAAATGAGTAAAATCAAGAGGGACATCAGGAATAATGCAACATCCTATCCTTCAAATACAGCAGAGGGTGCTAAAAAATAAAATAGCATTATGTGGTATGAAATCTAACTCTCAATCTCAGGGAAGTAGAGTAGAAAGTCACACGACACAACCAGGTTGTATTAGGAAACATTCCAGGGGAGAAGAAGTTTGGATATCACAGATGTTATTGTTATAGACCTCATGTTTTTTTTGGCTTTGAGCATAAACAGAAATTGACACGAGGCCAAGTTGAGATTTATGCTGCATTTATTTATTGAAGCTTCTGCCTGAGCACAGGGGAGAGACGGTGCTGGTTAGTATATAATAGCTGACTCCTTGAACAAAAGCCAGGGAAAGTTTTAAAAGGGGTAGAGGTAGCAAAGAAATAGTGGCAGGGGAATATTGAAACAAAGAGATGGAAGAATTTGAATACATAAGTGTAACAGACAAAACATGCTTATCACATACATCCCATGGTTTGTTTTTAGCTTGTTAAGTCTCCATTCTCATGTGTGATTTTTAGTAATAATATCAGGGGGAAAATAAGTGAACAGTTAGTACTGGGACCCATGCTGTTCAAGGATAAGTGATTCAATTTCTCCTTCAGAGGTGATGAGCACAGAACAATGAACTTTGTGGTTAAGAGAAACATGGACCCTCTACCATCTCATTATTCCATAATTAACAGTTGAGAGCCAGGCCTAGGGAAGAGATTATGCCCTGTGTCCTAAAGACATAAAAATATGGTGCAGGAGTGAAGATAAGCTCCAGTTACTAGAATTTAGAGTGTAGAGTAGGAGGCTGAAGGATTCTCTGAAGTATTCCCCTGCCTTTCTGTGAGGCTTTCTCCACAAAGGCTTTCTTGACAACAGGAGTTGGTGATCTCTTTGTGTGCATGGTATTTTGCATATTTCTACCTTTGAACATTTTCACAATCAGTCTAGTTGTTCATGTCTGATTCTCACACATGTATTCTAGATTAATAACATCAAAACTCTGACCCAGCTCTTAATCATAAAACCTAGGAAACACTACGTGCCTGCTACACACACACACACACACACACACACACACACACATGCATAAATGACTAGCTGGCTGGTTGAGTGAGTGATTATGCAAAGGCTGGGGATTGGAAAGTCAAGAATTGCCTTGGTTATCAAGGAACACTTCATAAAACCTTAATGGTTTCACTTTTCTGTTTCAGATTACTGGCAGCATACAATAGTCTTACCGATAAACACCTGGCTGGATATTTTAACAATACAAGGATAAGGCGGCATCTCTTAAGATCTGGACTGGTAAGATTTGGCTTACTTTCTACCTGCTTTCTGATTTCATTAAGTCCAACCTTTTCTGGTTTCCACTTTGAGCTAATCAGACAGCTTTCCCTCCCTTATTTAAGAAAAAGAGTTCCTTTTGAAAGCTCTGCTTTCTTTATTTCAGACTGTTACAGAAGGGGAGGAGAGCTCACAATGACTACTGAAGCAACTTATAAATTATTAAAAAAATCCCTATGGGGTTTTAATAGCACATTTCATTCATTTGTTTACTCATTTATGTATTCAACACCTTTATTGAACACACTGGAGGATCTAGGAACTGTTAGGGATTAAGGATAGAAAAACTTTGACTTTACTCAGAAAAAGATACTGTTTTTAATTATTTTTAAAATGTGAAGTGGAAGATGTGAATAGTGCCAAATGTCTTATACTTTAAAGATTCTTTCATTTCCTGTGATGTCTAATTGATAGTTTCCTTATTTCTTGACTCCAAAACTGTCATTTCCACAAAATTTCTATTCTTGAAAATACATTTAATGTGAAAATCTTTTAAAATTACCAGCTTCATATTGAAAGAAAGGGGAGTAGTCACAGAAAGTGTGACTAATGATTTTTAGCTGTTTACCTTCTTAAAACAGTGGGTTTCAGCAACTATTGTTGCCATGGTGTTGAAAAGATATACATAGCGTTTCTAATTGTTGTTTTTATGTTTCTCACTCTAGCTCTGCAGATCTCAGGGAGCTTGCTTTTTGTCTCCTGGGGCTTTGTTATCAGGCAGGCCTGGCTGACATGGCTCTGGCATTTATAAGACACAGAATCTTGAACAGCTCCAACTTCCTCGATTGTATAATTAAGATAATGATACCCAACCCACTGAACTGATGTAGAAATGAAAGATAATGTGATAAATTGTTTTTGTGATTATTGTAGTAACCTTTAACAGTACTTCTTTGGACAATAAACTTCATCTATTCATTGGAAATTTTTTTCTATTGATGTATCAACAAATATTAGCAAGCACTTATTGAGCATTTATTATATGCATGGGAACTTAATTAAAGAAGATACAAGGCACTCTGTAAAAAACTTATTAAATATAGTCTCTAGGTCGACATTATTCATCTTCATCTAGAAAAGCAAATTTACAGAATTCCAGACCAAATCTTTTGAGTCAGAATCTCTGAGATGGTACTTATCCATCTGTCTTTCAATTTGTGTGTTCGACATGATTCTGATTCAGGTTCAGTTTCAAGAAGTTCTGCTTTTTAGGAGCTTCCAGTTTAGTTTGGGAGATCAGATTACTCCCAAGGAGATAACAATGGTTTCTAGTAAATTGGGGAGATCATATCTATTCCCAATAGATAACAATGACACACATTAATTTCTAAGATAGTGGAAGATATTCTTAGCATTTTCTCCCAATTTTACTCATACCACATGACATCCCGTGGATAGAATATATTAAGGACTATAACTTAGTTCTTAATTTCCAAAAAACACTTTGTTTCTTTGTTTGCTTTGCTAGGTGATTCTCACTGGTTACTCTTGGCTCTGCACTCAGAAATTAACACCTGGCAGTGCTCAAGGACTATGTGAGATGCCAGGGATCAAACCTGGGTTGACTGCATGCAAGGCAAGCACCCTACCCACTGTGCTATTGCTCCGCCTCCCACAAAACACTTTCTATAAACACATTTATTTTTTCCTGTATTTACGAAAGCTGTATTTATGAAAAAAAATTTAATAGCCTATCACTTTATGCATAGTTCAAGCTGACCTCAACAGTCAGATTTGTTGCAAAAACAGTGTTTAAAAACTAGTGATTCCAGTTAAGAAATGTGTAGGATTAGATGAGACAAGGAACAGTGAGTACTGTTAAGTAAGTGGAAAAGAAGCTGAACAATTTGGGAAGAATTATTATCCTCTGTTTATAGAAGATAGGGAAAAATAAAACAAAGATGCCTATAGAAAAAGGATTAAAAGGAAGGCGTATAAATAAAACTCCAAAACTACCACTCCTGGAACTTGCAGTGATTGGCAATTGAAACCTTTCTCGAACACTGTATAGCTGCAGTAATACATTATCTGAAAAATTCTGAATCACAACAAATTACATTCTGGGCTGGAGAGTAAAATAAGGAAAAGCATTATAAAAGCAAAGTAATGAAGCCAATTATTTTTTAAAACAAACTGATGAAAGTCTCTGTAGCTTCCTTGCATTGCCCTTCAAAGTATTGGCTGTGAGGTCATCAGCCCTGTGATCACTGCTCCTATTCATTGTTTCAAAGTAGCACCTTCTTCTCTAATGTGTTCAAAAAGGAAAAAAGAAATGAAGGGAACACCTGGGTTTCATCAAGGGAAATAATGTTCTTCTAATGAAAACCTTGTTTTAAACATTGTGTACCACCTGTGTGTTTTTCCAATATGAAAGGTCTATGAGACTGACAATTTTTTTTTTAATTTGCTTTGAAAAACTTTCATGAAAAGGGAAATGTATCAACCATAATGCTGTATTCCTTTGGGTTTAAAAGACAGGGCCCTTTTCCTCTATTCCTCTGTCTGTGTCTCCCTTTTCGGTTGCATTTACATTTCCATATTTGAATCTATATTTGCATCTATGCTTGTTTTATTTATTTATGGCAGATCACAAGAAGTGGAAGAATACTTTCTGAAAAAGAATACAAACTAAATATCATGAAGCGGGATCACCAGAAATATGTCCGGGAGTGCTTGGCTCAGGCTATTTTCCGTAAGGTTCTTGATATGGAGGTACAAATATACTATTTTCCTTATAATCTATATTTTAAATATTATAATAATTAATCTACACCTGGAAGCAGGAATGATTCCTATATTTCATTAAAAAGCAATAGAACAAGGTAACATGAATAATATTTTATGGCTCTTTAGATAGCAAAGTTCCAAAAGATGAAAGTAAGCTTTTCTCCATTTTCAGTTAAGGAAAAATATGGGCATCTTATATATTTTGTGATATTTAATTTAACAAATGTAGATTTTTTTTAATCCATAATGGCTACTCTAAAACATACCAGCCCTCACCATCTGTACCTCAATTTCCATTTGCTAAAAAAAATAAAGTGACATCTGTTTAAATATCAGTAATTCTTCTGCCATGAATTATTTCAGATCTGTTATTCTTTTAAGGCACTGAAACTCAGCCGTATGCTAAGTTTCAAGGAATAGGCATGGAAACATCTGCTGTCCCTCCTACTCTAGGTCAAATTGGTCAGCACAGATTTACAACTCAAGCATCAACAACTTTTTTTTTAATTTGACATGGCATTTTTAGTGGAATATCTAGCTAACTTGATAAATTATTTCAGCCTTGCTCCATAGAACTTGTAGTTTCAAGCATCAACACCATTTTAATCTCTGTGAAAAAAGCATGTCACTTCTTGGCTTGACCATACAGCAATAAATCAGGAAACTTGGCTCATAAAACCATTGACCTGTGTGTGCAATCAACATGTATGAACAACTGTATAATCATCAATAAACCAATATTAAATATACTTCCACTGAAAATATTTATTGTTATTAATATTATTATAGTTATGTTAACCTAAGTTGTTATTGTTGTGGTCATTTTATATCTATAAGAAATACTGATTTAGAAATTTATTTGTTGCTTTATGCTATAAACATGAGTATGCAGGTATTGTTTATGGTCCCTCAATCACTTACTTATAAAAGCATTAGTTAGAGGCAACAGTGATGTTTAAAGAAATTAGTTGGGATACAACAGCTATTGTTTTAAAAAGAGTACAATAAAAAATTAATCTTTCACCAATTTTAAGCCAAATCAGTTGGCACTAAGTTCTGTATTAATCTTTGTCCTTGAATTTTGATTTCTCAAATATCATGGCACATTACAGCCAAGAAGCATGCTATTGAGTCTTTTTGAATTCTTTAAATTTATAATATCATAGATAAATATTAATATTTAACATACTTCATCATATATTAGCTTTGTTGGAATGAGCAGAATGAAATAAATTTGTTATATGCTTGCCAAGGGTGCAGGCTGAGGGGATGGCAAGGACCTTAGGGACACTGGTGGTGGGATTGATGTTACACATTGTATGCTTGAAACAATGCTATTATGAACAGCTTTATAAATAATGGTGTCTTATTAAAGAAAATTAAAGAGAAAATATTTTTAATATGCTGCATAGTATAATTTGATATTATATAAACACATACATCATATAAGTCAACATAAAATTGAGAATTTATCTCCATTGTCATATTTGTATTACATTCAGTTTATGCCAATATGGTTTGCTGATGTTCTCATATTAATATTCTTGTATTCGTTCATGCAGCAAATATTAATGATAGGCTTACTGTGTAGCATTATAAGATTATATGATGCAGCTGTGAGATATAATTAAAGAAAAACATTCTGTCAAAATTGACCAGATGCTAGGAGACACACACTAAGCTCAGAAAATAAGAGAATCATGACCTGTGTCTATGAGAGTCAGAGGAAGCCCCAAAGAGGTTTTACAATTTGAACTCCACCTTAACACCTGAAATTTTACATGAAAACATGAGAGGCATATTCTAGAGCATGAGACAGCACGTATGACAGGGTTTTGAGGATGGAAAGGAAAGTTCACTAAGGCCAGATGGCACCGTGGGCTACTGGAAGGAGTAGTAGGGAGTGACACTATCCAAGAAGCTAGGTCCTGTTTTTTTGAAGGACCTTACATTCCCAACTAGGTAGCAGAGTGTAGGTGATGAGGCGATGAAATGATTTTCAGCAGGGGAGTGAAATAAATGAGAAGAACTCTGAGAAAGATGATGTTACTAAAAATGTGGAAGATGGATTAATGAGGTGGAAAAGATTAGAGGTGGGAGGTCAATTAGGAAGCTGTTGCCAAAGGGTGCAAACTAACAGCAGTTTCGGAAATGCAGGGGAGATTCAGCTGTCCACAGAGATAAGAGAAAGACCTAGTATTACTGAGTAGAGAGCGGGAGGCAGGGGGAGCCCGGAGCAAGGCTGAGGGTTCCAGTTTGGTGAGTGATATATACATTCTGGGTAATCACCACCACCTTGGGCTTGAAAAGAACCCTCAAATGATGGGGTGTGTTTGGTAATGGTAGGGTTCTGGAAGGCAGAAATTGCTCATAAGCTGTGGAATGGTTAAATAAGATGAGTCATGGTGGGTGGGAGATGGGGCAGAAATCAGACAAAGACTTGGTGGTGCAAAGAAAGGACGGTGGGAGTGAGGTCTGTGTTAAGCTGGAAATAAATTGAAGATGGAAAATGGTAGTGAGTTTAATAAGGATTGGTGATAGGTGGGTGAGGGAACCAGAAAGACAGAGAGAAGAAAATGAAGAACCCAGAAGAGGATTGAAAATACTTAGGCTGGGAATAATCAAGTCTGCGAGATCTCAAAGGCAGCAGAAAGTGATCAAAAACAGAAAGAAGTACTTATATAATGCTCATATATACGCTCTTTTATATGTAATTTCAAATCCAATTATATGTATATTATATATGCATGAGGTTTATTTTCACATTACATAATTAATATATTGCTGAAAAATTGGAAATCACAAAAAGCATAAAAGGAGAAAATAACCACATATAATAATTCCTCTCCGAGATAGCTGCTGTTTACATTTCCTATAGTCTCTCTCCAGTTTATATTTATATTTTAATAAAACTATCACATTTGTGAGAAAAGCAGGTTTTTGTGAAAAACAGAAAGTTTTCAGATGGACCAACTTTCTTTTTTTTTATTAAAAATTTTTTTAATAGTGAGACATCATGAGGTACAGTTGCAGACTTACACATTTCTGTACTTGGGTTTCAATTATACAATGATCAAATACCCATCCCTCCACCAGTGCCCATTTCCCACCACCACAGATCCCAGTATCCCTCCCACCTCCCATCCCCCCCATCCCACCCTGTCTCTGTGGCAGGGCATTCCCCTCTGCTCTCTCTCTCCTCTTGGGTGTTGTGGTTTGCAAAAGAAACATAGAGTGGCAATCATCATTCATATTATTATTATTCCATATATTTACTTGCCACCCATTCATCTTTGTGGAGGTGTCTGTATAGGTCTTTTGCCCATTTAAAACTAAAGCTGTCTTCATACTGCTGAGTTTTAAGAGTTCTTAGTAATAGTTTGGATCGCAGTTTTATCAGGTGTGTCTGTTGCATTTATTTTTTTTTGAATTTATTTTTTATTAGTGAAACACCATGAGGTACAGTTGTAGATTTACAAATTTTTGTGCTTGGATTTCGGTCATACCATGATCAAATACCCATCCCTCCACCAGTGCCCATTTTCCACCACCATGGATAATATCCCTCCACCCCATCCCCCCATCCCCCCCCCCCCCCCGCCACTGTGGCAGGGCATTCCCATTCCCTTTTGTTCTCTCTCTCCTTTTGGGTGTTGTGATAAGCAAAAGAGGCATTGAGTAGCAAACATGTTCAGTCCAGTCTACTTTCAACCTGCATCTCCCCTCCTGGGAGGATCCTCCAAACACCCTCCATTTGGTGCTCCCTTCTCTATCTGAACTGTCCTTTCCCCTAGAATACTCGGCTGGCCTCTAAGCTATGGAGTAATCCTCCTGGTGTTGATCTTGGCTATTCTTGGGTATTAATCTCATATTTTGTTACTTTATATCCCCCAGATGAATGCAATCTTTCTATGTCTATCCCTCTCTTTCTGACTCATTTCGCTTAGCATGATACTTTCCATATTGTACCACTTGTATGTAAATTTCATGACTTAATCTTTTCTAAGAAATACATAGTACTCCATTGTCTAGATGTACCAAAGTTTCTTTAACCAGTCATCTGTTCTTGGGCACTCGGGTTTTTTCAGATTCTGGCTACTGTAAAGAGTGCTGCTATGAACAAACAAGTGCAGATGTCACTTTGACTATACATTTTTGCCTCTCTGGAATATATTCCCAGGAGTGGTATCGCTGGGTCAAATGGGAGCTCAATTTCTAATTTTTTGAGGAACGTCCATACTGTTTTCCAAAAGGGCTGAACCAGTCGGCATTCCCACCAACAGTGAAGGAGTGTCCCTTTCTCGCCACATCCGCGCCAGCAACAGTTGCTTTTGTTCTTTTGAATGTGGGCCAGTCTCTGAGGTTTGAGATGGTATCTCATTGTGGTTTTGATCTGCATCTCCCTGATGATTAATGATGTAGAGTATTTTCTCATGTGCTTTTTTGCCATTCAGATTTCTTCTTTGAGAAAGTTTCTGTTCATTTCATTGGCCCAGTTTTTGATGGGATTGGATGTTTTCTTCTTGTGGAGTTCAACCAGTACTTTGTATATCCTTGATATCAACCCCTTGTCAGATGTGTATTCGGTGAATATTCTTTCCCATTCTGTAGACTGTCTTTGTATTTTGGTCACTGTTTCTTTGGAGGTGCAGAAGCTTCTTAGTTTAAGATAGTCCCATTTATCTATCTCTGTTTTCACTTGCTCGGCCAGTGGTGTGGCATCTTTGAAAATACCATTAGCCCCAATGTCATGGAGGGTTTTGCCAACTTTGTCTTCAATGTACCTTATGGTTTCTGGTCTGATGTTGAGGTCTTTAATCCATTTTCATCTTACCTTTGTACATGGTGTTAAGCAGAGTTCTGAGCCCATTTTTTTGCATGTAGCCATCCAGTGATGCCAGCACAATTTGATAAAGAGGCTTTCCTTACTCCACTTCACATTTCTTGCACCTTTATCAAAGATTAGATGATCATATGATTGAGAGGAGATGCCAGTGTATTCAACTCTGTTCCATTGGTCTGCAGTTCTGCCTTTGTTCCAGTACCACGCTGTTTTGATTATTACTGCTTTGTAGTAGAGCTTGAAGTTCAGAAGGTTGATTCCTCCCATTTTCTTTTCCCCAAGAATAGCTTTAGCTATTCGTGGGGGCTTATTGTTCCATATAAATTTCAGGAGTGTTTGCTCCATTTCTTTGAAGAATGTCATGGGTATCCTTATAGGGATTGCATTGAATTTATACAATGCTTTCAGTAGTATTGCCATTTTGACAATGTTAAGTCTCCCGACCCATGAGCAGGGGATATCTTTCCAGTTCCTCATTGGACCAACTTTCTAATTGCAGCTCTACCACTGACTAGGTTTATGACCTACAGCAAATTCATGACCTGCTACCTCAATTTCTTTGCAAATAAGAATAATTAGGGGTTAGTCATTTGAGAAGAAGTGATTCATGCAAAACACCTTTCTAACACAGGGACAGATACACAATGTAAATATGATCAATTAATGTAAATTTCTATGCAGTTCCTGTATCCTACCTTTTTTGGGTGCAATCCACACCTTTTCAATTTTTTTAAATGTGGGTATTATTTTTATGGTTTAATTGTATTCCATTACACATAGGCATGCAAAAAGTTTAAACATTCTCTCAAAGGCTAATATTGCTTCTGGATTTTTTACTCTGAAGGGAAAAAAATACCATTTCAGAGAGCATATTTGTATATAAAACATTTTTATTATTATTCATATTTCCCCCTAGGTTTAAAGTGAAATTTATTGGTTAAAGGATAGGAACACTTTTAGCTGCCTAATATATGTTAAGAATTGACGTTCCAAAGAGTTGTATCAATTTACATCCCCACTTGCACACTTATGCAGGTGATTCTTCTCCATCTCAATGACAAGAAGGGTAATTGAGAATACAGTTAGTTGGTGAGATTATTTTCCTCTATAAAATGCTTTGCTATAATTGATATGATTCTCTCCTTCATTTTTCCCTATATGTTTAGCGTTACCATCAGCTTGAAATAAAAAAGAAACTGGAGAATTTAGCTAGGAAGGAACGAATCCAAAGATTTAAGGTAAGGCTCCCTAACGCTTTACTTCAGAATGCTATTTTATGCTATTGAAATATAATAGTTCTATAATTGAATTTCTTTAAGAAATTTTCTTTTTTTTGGTAGCTCTGAGGTCAAATGATAGTTAAATCAAGATTAAATCATGGCTACTGTCATTGTAGATGATTATGTACAAATAACTATGTGCAAAATAAATTTCATAATGCACAAATATTTCAAAGAAAAACTTTGAAACTTCAAGGTTTCAAAGACCAAGTTTGAAATTTTGTTTTTATTTTTTCTTGATTGAGTTCTGATAGAAGCCAGCAGATTTGTTTTTTGTAAGGTAAAAAATGTAAGTTTTTCAATATTATGGGGAATAGGACATTTAAAGAATTATATGATACATTTTAATGTGAACAAGGGCCTGGAATGATACATGACAGCAGAGATCAACTTTGGCAAATAAATTTAGTGTAAAATTTTGCTGTTTTGCAAAGACACTTTAAATTTTATATTTAATGGGCATTCTTTGCTGTAAACTTACAAACTATATAAATTTACATCAAGAAATGAAAGATTCTTTTAAATGAAAGTAAATGAAAGTAAATGAAAGTTTGCATTTTAGGTTGCTGTTCTTGCTCAATTCCTTGGGCCATTCAAAATTAACACATTCATGTTCTGTACAGTATTAAAATGTGGGCCCTAAGACACATTTCACAAGCTGATGCATATTTGTAGAGACTTTGTGGAATAACTTGCCACAGAAGACTAATTTTCCTCTTTTCCCCAATAGGCTCAAACCTTTCCTATTTTATCTTGGTCAAAGACAATCTTATTATAGAAATGTTAAATAACAGATGACGTATCAGTTTTTCAAGATAAGAAAATTTGGTGTGTGGAGATTTATGGTGAACTCACGTTTGCCAATAATCTCTTCTAATCAAAGCCAAGTTTGTATGTATTTTCTGGAATATTGATGGAGAAGAAGGGTTACTCTGAAGAATGACCAGCACTGCCTGAAACAATAAACCATTGTATCTGTGCTTAATTTACTCTCACCTAGGTGGTCAGACACACTAACTACACTATGTGCAATATTACAGCATTGGCAGAATTCCAATAGTCATTCCAGTTCCTCCCTATATGGCTTTTAATTATAAGATTTTTCTCTTTATAGTTTCACTTGATGTGTTTGAGAGCCCCTTTATGTAGTATGAAACTCTTGCTTAGAGCATTGTTTCATTATTCTTCAGGTACACAATTGTACTTCATGTACTCTCCACTGGTCAAAGTAATGAGGTACATTCTACTTCTTGGAGTGATATACTTAAAGCAAATGAATAAATATTATTGCTAAAGATGATATGCTGCAATCTAGTTCATTGAATTAGCTGATTTCTTTGAAGAAAGATTGCTTGTTTCTGTCTGACTGAAATACAATCATGAACAGCTTTGTAAGGGTCTATCTCACTGTGATTCAATAAAAAAGTTTAAAAAAAAGCCTAGATACAACTTGAGTTACAGAATAATTTATGAATGCTGCTTCTTAAGAAGGACTGAAATATGTACTATCCTATTCAAATAATAACACAAAAGATAATTTACAGTGAAGAGATTGATAGAAAAATTAAAAACACTGCTACTTAAAGTATAAGGGGAATTTTATTCTGGTGACACATGTAATTTAAAAGGAAAAATATCTTAGACTTGGAATCACAATTTTGTTTCCACCACCTAATGTCTCTGTTGACCCAAATATTTAATCTCCCTGTACATCTGCCAAATGGAAATGTTATCGATTGAAAAGGTTTGTTTAAAAAATAAAATAATTTGTCTTAAATAAAAGATTGTTTCATACTTTCACTGGCATATCCAGGTCCTGATGTGTGACAGTATGACATTAAATAGCTGTGGAAACTTTTCCTCACTGTCATGGTAGGCATCTGAAGGAATCTTCTCAAAATAAATGAAAAATAACTTCTTTTAGGGGTGGGAAGATCACCCAAGCAGTGATAAAGTTGGGATCTTTGGGGTTACTCCTGGGGATACTTAGCCATACTGTGAGGTTATACAAGTTCTGTGCTTGGACCTGATGGCCCGGGAGAATTATCAGAGTCACATCTGATAGTGCTCAGGGGACAGGTATTGCCAGAAATAAAGCATCCCTGTGAGGTATCTTCTTGGCAAAAGAAAGGATTTCTTTAGTCATTCAGTATCTTACTTACAAATGTTAGCTGGGATTGTTAATTACACACCAGTTCCTTATTTTTCTTATTCCAGGGAGAGCACACAAGATGGTCTATAGAAGATAACATACCAATCTTGTCTCCCCACCCCCCAGTTGGCCCAAAGACAAACCGTGGCCATAGTGTTCTGCTTAATGAAGGACATTCCAGTCCATTAACACCGGTGAGTCATTTTATAGAGTTTTTCATGCACTAGTCCAACTAATTAATTTATGTCTTATTACTCTCAGAAAGGATGCTCTCTGGCACATGTCTGTAAAATCCTATGAATTCCACTGAATGGAAGCAGTCCTATATTTGTAAAACTTCTTATTTATAAAATTCCCACGTATAATCGACATCAATCCTGTCAAATAATTTTGCTTGTTACTGCTATATTTGTATTTTTTTCTGAAGTAAAATAGTTTAATTGAAAGGAATTTACTAAGAGAAATGTGTGGGGAAAGTAGAGAGAGAGAGATAAGACTTTTCCAGAGGAGGGAAAAGCTTCTTTTGCTTTTCAATTTCATTCTTGCTCTCTCTTCTCATGCTCTTTTTCCTCTTCCCTTCTCTTCTTTTTCTATCTTTCTTACTACCTTCTTACTTCCCTTCATTTTGTTCTTTTATATTTCTTCTCTTTCTGCCTTTCCTTTTTTCTCTCATTCTTCCTCATTCTTTTATTCCCTCCCTTCTTCCTGTCCTTCCTCCCTTCCTTTCTAAATGGAAATGAGGGCATCCTATAAGACATGCACTTTACACTGAGTCAAGGCCCTGAATCAGTATGACACCTGTGGAAAATTTTATGTGGCACTTAAGACCCTGAATAATATCACCTTGATTTAGCTGTCCCGATTTTTGCTCTTATGATTAACCTTTAATACCTACCTTGCAGCGGGACAGAATTACTAGTTGGTCCATACATGTTCTACATTTCTTATCTCTGAATTTAATAATTTTTATTCGTTGTACTCTCACTTTATCTATAAAATCTGTAGTACACAAATTAATTTGTACTATGTAGCACTTTGGGCCAGTTACTTATTTTGTGATTTTGAACATCTGAAGTATGTCCACATACTCAAAAACATAAATTTACAGAAAATCTATTTAAAGAAATTGTGTACTGGCATTTCATTTGTTTGATTCATTTGTATATAGATATGGCATTTGCTTAAAGAAAGGTGTGGTAGCTTGAAACAATATATACACAAGGAAAGATTTCTATGATATTTGCTGAGGTTCATGGATTAAGTTGTAAATGAATTGGTTGATTTCATCTTTATTCCAGCTTTGTGTAACTTGATATATTTCCTTGTTAGCATGAACATTTTTTTCAGATTGCACAATATTTAGAGAGAAGTTTTGTTTTCACAGATTATTAATGTGAGTTCATCAACATAATGTTTAACTTTGGCATTTTTCAAAAGGTAAATATGTTTTGACATGTTCCAACGAACAGCTCAAGTAAAGAAAAGCAGTGGTCTTCATTGGGTTATTACTGTATTTTCTGGACTCATTTAAATGAATATGCACACAAATAACTCCTTTCTGGGAGGACAAATTCACTAGATTCTCAAAAGCTTAACCCGAGTGAAACAAAGAAAACAATCAAGTACTGGTTTTCTAACTTCCCACCTGTTTCGAGAGGAAAACCCCTTCAAAGACTTTCTTTTCAATTTTCCAGCTGAACACCCTCAATAAGTAGTTTATGATACATCCAGGAGATCTTAATGTGGCAGGAATGAGAAAGTAATTTTGAAATTATAGGAAACACTGACACCAGCATTTCACAAGCTTTTGTATCTGGTAAACCAAAAGTTTTCATTCTGTCATTTCCTATGGTGCGTCTGCAACATAAGGAATACATCGTGTGATCTTGGAATTATAGCTCCTATTTTACAGAAATTCAAGTCCTGCTGTTTGTTTTCCCAGTCTAGTTATGAATCTTTTAAATTTGACTCCTGATCCCCCAACTGACATTGAGATGAAGTTAATAATCCTTTTAAGGTATTGCCACTGATTTTTCTTTTGTAACTTTCTTGCATTAGTAAGGACAGCATCAAATGTGGTCATGAAGGGCCCCTCAACTTTCAAAATAGCTTACAGCTTTTTTTTTTTAGATGTAAACACTTTATTATTATTATTATTATTTTTTGCTTTTTGGGTCACACCTGGCAATGCACAGGGGTTACTCCTGGCTCTGCACTCAGGAATCACCCCTGGCAGGGCTCAGGGGACCATATGGGATGCTGGGAATCGAACCCGGGTCGGCCGCGTGCAAGGCAAACGCCCTACCCGCGGTGCTATTGCTCCAGCCCCAGCTTACAGCTTTTTTTGCTACATCATTCCCATCAAATCTGTGAATCATTCAAAAATCTGTGTACATACTTAGGAAAAAAATCACCCCAATGAATCTTTTACTAAGAATTAAAAATTCTCAGTTAAGCTGAGATGTCATCAGGTAATTGATTTCAATTTCATTCTTATAAAATTTGAAATTATTAATCTGCAGTGGTTTATTATAAGAAATATATTATGAAAAATTAAAAACAGAAATTTATGGTAGTTTGTGTATTTTCATTTATTTATTCTTTAATCTTTGGGATCACAACCAGCAGTGTTCAGGGTACCATGTGCTACAAATTGTAAAACTGTGGTCTACTGCATGCAATGCATATGCTTAGCCTTTGAGACATCTCTGTAATACCTCTTTTAATTTTTATATTTTGAACCTCCCAAGGAGTGGTTTGGGAGTTTGGGAGCTACTTCTATCAATACTTATTCAAGTAGACAGGATGAGTCAATGCTAAGTCCTGAGTATGTGTTGCTACTCAGGCCCTGTGTGCTCAGAGAACTATATACTTGTGAAAATGAACAGTGTGGTTCCTGCTTGCAGACTATTTACCTCTGGTCCCTGTGCTATTTCTCTGATCCCTGTGGTAGCTTTGAATATGAATTTTGGCAGTTTGTGCATCAGAGCTATTAGCAGGATAGTGCACATTTATCTGGTTTTAGATATAAATGTAATAATTTAGACATTTAAACATCACATTCATCTAATGTTTTGTATAAAAGGTAAAGGTAAAGGCCCTCCTGTTGATCGTCGATTTGCTCGAGCGGGCCCAGTAACGTCTCCATTGGAGACTTTGTTGTTACTGTGTTTGGCATATCGAATACTCTCAGTAGCTTGCCGGGCTCTCCGCGAGGGGCGGAGGAATCGAACTCGGGTCGGCCATGTTGGCCGCTTGTAAGGCGAACGCCCTACCCGCTGTGCTACCGCTAAAATGTAGTGCACAGGCGTCGACAGATGAGGTTCTGTTTATGAAGATCTGCTTTCTTGAATGAATGTAGTTTCTAGTTTATGAACCTATTCAGTGGGATCATTTGCCAGGGAGTGTCAAGGGGGTTGTTTGTTCTACAGAGATTAAAAAAAAAAATCTTTTGTGTGTTCTTGATTTCCTGTTCAGAAACCTCTAAGCTGGAATTCTTGTGAGTTATAAGGGATTTCACCATTTGGCTCATATAAACTTATATCCTATTTCTTTAAATCAAATTCTGTGAGTCAACTTAGCTTCCCCATTCAATCACGATACAGGTTTGTGTGCAGAGACCCCCACATAATAATGAAAAAAACACAGGGATTACTCCCAATCCCAGTACACATACTTGGGTCTCAATTGGCTTGGCCTCTCTTCTCTATGATGTCATCAAAAGCTCAGACTCCTTTTTTGTCATTGCTTAGTCAATTTGTGCCGTGAGGCACATAAGCCAAGATGGTGTGCCACCATGTGGAGATTCCAGCCTGCAGGAAGGGGAGTAAAAAAAGTGAAGGTACATTTCTCTCTGAGAGCATGATCTGGAAATTTCATGTGTCACTTAAATGCTCACACTTTATTGTCCCAGACTGAGTCAGGCAACTATTTAGAACTGAAAAAATGTTGAGAAATAGGATTTTTGGTTGGGAATTAAAATATTACCTGATAAAAAACTGAGTTATTAAAAAAGGGTAAAAAGATATTATCATGGGTAATATTATCTTTCTTACCCATCCTCTTTCTAGCTTACAACTGTTTTTTCTTACTTGTATGTTCTAATTTACCATTTTCCTTCTCTGCTTATCAATTTTCTTCTCTTCTTCCATTTTGATAAAATATAACTGCTTTTGCCAAACTCTTATTTTTGCTAGTCTCATTGGCTTATCAGTGAGTTCTCTAGTATTTTTATTTTATTGTCTCTGACTATATTTGTGTGGTTCACTTGGTACTAGTTTCGTGTCACCTTTCAAAGTTAAAAATTACTTTTTTTTATCTGTTTATAGAGTTAATATTTGGAATTCAATAACGGTTAACATACAAAAATAATAGATTTAGCCTCCTATGATATCCTTGTCAATATGGCACTAAGATCAATTTCTGGCTATAAAAGCATTCTTATCACTAACATCACTTTCCAAAGTTTAATCTTTGTTATTGTTTGGAGTCAATTGTATTAAGCCTTTTCATGGGTCATTAGATAATCCCACAATCTATATTCTCTTACCCAGATGTACACTTTTATTTTTCTAAACAGGTTTTGGCTGTTGTAGAAGAAACAACTGAGTGAACAACTTCATTCCTCCCCACTGACCCTACTTAACTTTGATAATCTTTAGCCTAAACTTGCAGTGTTTCAGCAGTGCTCCCGAAAGGCACTTGTAATGTTCCATACTGACAGTTTTGGTATTCTCTGCAGCATATTCTTGATTAGAAAATGTATTAGTCAGGATTTTAGCAGGAAACAGATGGCTCACACAAATAGGGTAATTAGGAAGGATTTAATAAACTGTTTACAAAGATGAAGTCAGGATTAAGGAAAACCAGCTAGAGATGTTAAGTGTGTTAAGGTCAGCATAGTGAGAAACATATCATTTAGGCCTAAGGCAGGAGGGATGGGTTGGATACAAACTAGCAGGTGGCACCTGAGAGCTAGGAGAGGACTTCCTGGGAGAGCTGCTGGACATTGGCAGAGACACACAGCTGGCTCATAGCAACTGGGGTAGAAAGGGAAATAAAGAGCCTGACTTCCGTTCCTTCCTGTGTTCTTCTGTCTCCTGCCTTAGATTGATCAACAAATCCAACTGGCATTCTCAGCTTTTTTGTATAGCCTGTATAGGCATGACTCTTATGGACTGGAATAGACCAGGGAAGGTGAATGTAAATGGACTAATATAAAATCTTTAGGTAAAACATATAAGTTCTTATTCCCCCCCACATCTAATGGTGCTAAGACTTTATTCCTGGCTCTGCACTCAGGGTCACCATGCAAGGCTCAGAGGACCTTTTATGGGTTGCTGGGAATCATTCTCAGGTTGGCCTTGTGCAGAGCAAATGCCCTACCTGTGTACTATGGCTCTTATATCCTGAAACACACCCACAGTTTTTACACACTATTTTTGAAATTCTCTAGTTATTGTTTTAAAGTTTGTTTACCTAATATTTAAAGAGGGCTTGAATAAGTGGTAATATGTTGCTGCTTAACACTTGCCTTTCTTCTTCTTTTTTTTAATCATATAGTTTGCTTCATTTTCAGCACCAATATTAACACTTAAATAATAGGACAATTGATGTTGAAAACATTTAAATGTAAATGATCACATTCTGATAATATTCCTTTAGATCTCTAAAATAGGAACATTATTCAACCTAACATTTGATGGAGCAAAACCATACTACACTTGGCATAAACTAGGTAATATCAATGAGTTTATAGTATGAATAAAATATTGGAACCTAACAGATAACATCTCCTTTGTCTAAAATACTCTATAATTGTGACATTTAGCTATGTAGAGGACTTCAACACCATATGTTTTAACAAATACTTTGGGTCACAAGGGTATGTATAATGGAAAGACATAATTAAAGTTTAATCTGTTCAGTAAAAAGGCACCATTAATTACTGTAGGCAATTTGTTGGTTATTAATTGGTTCTGGAGACATGTCAAGATACTAATTTAAGTTGAATTGTTTTTTCTTAATTATCTAGACAGCCCCTCGACCATATACTGCTCCGGAAAATATACAACCTCCTATTCGATTGCAGCCTCTTCCTAGTAATCCTGCAGTAGGAACTGTTCCAAAGATAATTCCGGGGTCCAAATCAAAAGGCTCAATGCTGGAAAATGATGCTCCACTTTCCACTGGGGTAAATGTTATTTTTACAGTAAATACTTTTGTTTTTTATTTGAACATATATTATTGTAGGTTTTAAGATGTTAGATTCAGTTAATCCACTTAGTGAGACTTATTATATGCTTCTTACTTTAATTTAGCATACTTGAATTGCTTTTAACTGTAATTTCTGTATTGCTGGACAAATAGAATGAGGAATAGATTTTTTATACTAATATAAGATGAGTTATCATTAATTTGAAGGATTATATGAAAACAAAGTGGAAAACATTTTTTTCAAAGTGGAAAATTTTTTATAGACAGATATGACTTCTATCAGAATATACCTTGTGTTGACTGCTTCCAAATTTTAGATGCATGAAACCTAGAAAATGAAAATTTCCAAGAATAGGTTTGCATTTGCATGCCGACTTACTTTACCATCAGTGTATGAAATTGCTTTAAGTTTGACTCTGAGAAGTTGGACGTAGAAGGAAAAGAATGTCCATCTTTTAAAATGCCAAATTAATTCCTCAGGAACTTAACTCTGATTCCTTTTCAAGTTTTCATCTCAGGAAATTTTTACTTATTTTAATAGAGCACAGAAAGGAGGTATGAACCTAAAATATGAGTTAAAGAGGAATAACTAGTACCTTCATTAATTACTGATATTGTTTCTATATCTAACACAAAGAAGAAATATTTGCTAACTTAAGAATTTTAATTGTTATGAGCAAAATTGTCAATATATTCAAGTGGGTGAATATAATTCTATTTGTTAAGGAACATAAAGGCTCTCCCGTTGATCATCGATTTGCTCTAGCGGGCCCAGTAACGTCTCCATTGGAGATTTTGTTGTTACTGTGTTTGGCATATCGAATACATCACGGGTAGCTTGCCAGGCTCTGCCGTGTGGGCGAGATACTCTCAGTAGCTTGCCAGGCTCTCCGAGAGGGGCGGAGGAATCGAACTCGGGTCAGCCATGTTGGCTGCGTGCAAGGCAAACGCCCTACAGCTGTGCTATCACTCCAGCCCTAGCCAGGAACGTAGGACATATGGAACTAAAATATTTTTTATCTAAAACTGACAAATAAACTTGACACTAAGAAATTTAATAAATAATTGTGTAAATATGTAAATATAACTCTGACACTAATACTTTGTTTAATAACCTTTTTATCACATGAATAATATTTTCCAAGCCTTGTTAGTTAATTTAGTAGTTTATCAGAAAGCAATTTAATCCAAAAGTGGCAGTACTTTGATTAAGATTCCCTACCTAGCATTGAACAGAAACTGGTTGCATAAGAAACCAGTTAAGCTTTTTCTAAAATCTGCTCTTTACATTTCCCATTTCTGCTGGTACATAGGAATTATTTGGTATTGAGACATTGTCTAAAATCATCAAAAATAACTCACAACAGGCTCATGAGTAACTTCAGTAACCCACAACACGGTCATGTTTTTCCCCCTAGAGTAAACCAAAAATTAAGAAATAAAGTATAGAAGCTGTTGTGATAGGCACTTGCCTTGCATGTGCCTGATATGAGTTTGATCCCCAGCACCACATATGGTCCCCAAGGCATGCCAGATTTGATCTTTTAGCGCAGAGCCCATAAGTGAGCTCTGAGCACACCAGGATGTAGCTCAAAACAAAACAAAAGAAACAAAAAAAAACAAAACAAAATCAAAAAGAAACAAATCATAATCAGAGGCTCTTTTATCAAATATCAAATGTCAAATAACCATAGCTACCAGAAGTTTTTCCCTTTAGGCAGGCCAACATGGGAAGGAAGATCACAATAAGAAAGTTGCCTGGTGAACATAGCATCACAATGAGAGTATATGGAATGTTAATGGCTCTAAGATGGTCTCATATTTTAGGAATGGGCTTGCCAAAGGTACTTGAAAACTCAAAGGTCTTTGGCTGAAACTGTTTCCTCCAGGTATAACTTGCCTTTCGGACTGGAGTTATTCAGTCCAATGGGTGAATATTCATCTCTCATAGAGAGTATTCGGATGGGCACTTTCCACATTTGTCAAGGTGATTATATTCTTTTCTAAGTTCCTACTTCTGTTAACTCTAATATACTCATTTTCACGTTAGATTTGTGAATACTATCAATCAAGTAATCAAGTTCTGCTGGCTAGGGAATGGCTTTTATTCCCTTCAGATGATTTTTTATATCTCTTCTCGCTGAATTGATTTAGAAACCTAGATCTTTTACTTTCCTTTTTCCAAGTTTTGGGGTTTGAGTGATTTTGGGAATAGGAATTCAGTGGTAGTTCAGAGTTGCTGACAATAGTAAAAGAAATTCCATGTTAATTTTAACTAATTAAACTTATACTTCATATGCTGCAAATATCTGTGATTGTCAGTTATTAAGGCAGATGATAGTCTTAAGTTTACTGAATTTTATACTATAATGTACATAAAAAGAATAATCTGTTGGAAGAAAACATAATTTTTGAATGACATTGATGATAAGTGGTAATTAATATAAAATCAGGCTAGAAATTCCTGGAGTCTGCTGCTGAGGGAAGAGTCTGCTCAAAGTACTAGACCACATGCTTTGCATCTCAGAGGCTGAAATTTATCCTCCCTGAGCACCACTGGTTGCGATTTGAAAAATACATACATACATATTATATGGGCTGGAGTGATAGCACAGCGTGTAGGGCGTTTGCCTTTCAAGTGGCCAACACGGCTGATCTGAGTTCAATTCCCCTCTTGGAGAGCCCGACAAGCTACCGAGAGTATCTCGCCTGCGGGGCAAAGCCTGGCAAGCTACCTGTGATGTATTCAATATGCCAAACACAGTAACAATTGTCACAATGGATACGTTACTGGGCCGGCTTGAGCAAATCAATGAACAATGGGAAGATAGTGACAGTGGCATATTATATATATATATATATATATATATATATATATTACATATATAAAATTTTAGAGAGTAAATACAGGGGTACAGTGGTTAAAGATAGCTCTCTGGCACTGCATATTGTCTCTCAATCACTGCTGAGAGCCACTCCAAGCGCAGAGCCAGAAGTAGCTCCTGAACACCTCTAGGTGAGGCAAAATAAAAAAGGAGATGAATAATTTGTATGATTCCTGAGATTTTAGTGAAAACTGACTAAATTTTTACTGCATTCTTAAAAAGTAAAGGGGGACTGGAGAGCTAATATAGCAGGTAGGGTACTTGCCTTGTATAAGACTGATCCAAATTCAATACCCAGCAACCTTATTGTCCCAAGTCCTGCAAGGAGTGATCTCTGAGCACTGAGCCAAGGAGAAAATCCTGAGCAATGCTAGGTGTGACTGAAAAACAGCAACAAAATCAATTAAACATGTAACAGGAATGGCTCTGGAGTTTGTAAAATAGACATAAACTGACAAAAACAGACAAACATTTCTAAATATCAGGAAAAAGGATTTATGATTTAGGTAAACATGATATAGTAAAATATAGTTGAGGGGCAACTGAGTAAAAACAATGACTTTATTACCAATTATCTTTCATGCACCTGTAAGAGCAAAAATTGGTGCAACAGCTTGTGATGGCAATATGGAAACATTTATCAACATTTTGTTTAATTGGTGAAGTAAATCTTTTATTTCTAAAAAACGAGGGGGAAGAGAGAAAGTGGGGATAGAGAAAGAGAAGAGGCCAAAGGGCCTTTTTGAAAGAAGAGAAAATTAAGTATCTGAATTGGGGTGCTGGTGACTCCAAAATGGAGCTACTCTGTCAACATTTCAAGTGAATGTGCCCCAGCATTTTAGCATATAGGACTTACCCTAGAAACACAGAGGTATTTTGAAAGAAAAGAAATATTTAGGGGAAGGAGAGTCAAGCACCATACAACAGGTATGAATACAGCTGACCTGATTTGATCCCTGAGCACCACCAGAAGTGAATACTGAACACAGAGCTAAGAGTAAGCCTTAAACACAACAGCATCTGTCCTCTTCCCAGTAGATTCAAGAATGATTTTAGTACAAATTTATAGAAATAGCAATGGGAATAAACTTACATATTTTTGTTTATGTAGTAAAGGTAAAGGTAAAGGCCCTCCCGTTGTTCATCGATTTGCTCAAATGGGCTCAGTAACATCTCCATTGGAGACTTTGTTGTTACTGTGTTTGGCATATCAAATACATCATGGGGAGCTTGCCGGGCTCTGCCGGGCGGGCGAGATACTCTCGGTAGCTTGCCGGGCTCTCCGAGAGGGGCGGAGGAATCGAACTCGGGTCGGCCATGTTGGCTGCGTGCAAGGCAAATGCCCTACCGCTTAGCTGGTTAAAGCGCCTGTCTAGTTTATGTAGTACAGTGATCAAACCCAGGGCTATGCACATGCAAGACATGAGCGCTAATGTTAAACCAAAGCCTCAGCCCTACACCTAAATATTAAACAAAATAGTTTTATAAGTGTTATGTTAATTAATGTTTGCTTAATAATGAAGGTAAAACTAGCTGACCGTATGAAAAGATATCCAAGATGCTTCTAACTAAAAATAGCAAAGAAGTTTATATAAATATATATGTATATATGCTAAACCATTCCAAAATATAATTCATAATTAAATAGCAACTTCAAAAATTGCCATACAAGAAGCTCCTAATTCATTTATTATTCTTACATCTCAATTTCTTTAATTTGTAATTATTATAATATCAGTGCATGCTATCATAGAAAATGTGGGAAAAAATTAGGATATGAGCAACACTTGCAATATCAGCTATTCTAAATGCCTTGGTGATTATTATCTATTTAAATACCTTTCTCCTCACATAAATATTGTTTTCAATCAAAATGACTAAAGAGATTGTACAGTGGAAAAGGCATGTGCCTTGCATGCGGCTGACCTGTGCTCAATCCCTATCACTGTATATGGTCCCCTGAACCCCACAAGGAGTGATTCCTGCACACAGAGCAAGGAGTAAGACGAGCACAGCTTGGTATGGCACCAAAACAAAACAAAACCAACAAAATATTGGATATTCATGCCTTAAAATTTTACCTGCTTCTCTAAAAAGTTTTTATTAGTGAAACACCGTGAGGTAAAATTGTAGACTTACAAATTTTTGTGCTTGGGTTTCAAAGTATCATGCTAAGCAAAATTAGTCAGAAAGAGAGCGACAGACATAGAAATATTGCGTTCATCTGGGGAACATAAAGTGACAAAATAGGAGACTAACACCCAAGAATAGCCGAGATAAGTACCAGGAGGTTTAACCTGCTTTTAGTATGTTAACAATGAGAAATATTTGGAGAATGAATTCCCTTTCTTAAAAATGACATAAAGATTAAGTAGGACAAAAAATCTGTTAACATCCAAATGAAATAAATTGACAGACTACGGAAAAATTATTAAAGGTGTGTTCAAGTTTGCATCTTCAAACTTGACAGGAATAAAACTAAGTTAAATTTCTCCTTTTGATGCATTTGATAGTTTTACTAAATTAGCTGCATATAAATGTGTGTGTATATATATCCCCTTATGTAGATTATCACTGTACTTTGTACAGTGATAGGATTTATTTCTACACATAGAATTTCTAGGAGAAAATAAGCTTAATAGAGTCTTTGGATCAGAGTATAAGTTTAGCTCCTTGATCTCATTAATGAATATTTTCATATGTGGATAGTTGAAATCAGAATGTGAAGAAAGTACTAATACTACTTAATAGTTTAGGAAGATTATCCAGCCCTAGATTATACAATCATAGAATACTTCAGAATTCTTTATTTTTAATGTTTTAATTGAGTCTTCATATATTCAATGGATTGTTATGTGGGGAAAAATCTTAGAATTACTATAAAAATAACAATATGCTTGATTTTAAAATGTTCTTAGATAAGAATATAAAACAAGGGAAGTTAAATGTCCTGCAGATACAACAAAATGCTGTGTTTTTTTCCCCCAACAGATCATAGAGCTTCAAGTATGTATACAACATTAATTATGTTTGTGTGATGTCAGTTATAGCCTTCTTTTTAATTTTAGGTTAAGTTGGGTCACTGATTCTATTTTCACTTGTTCTTTTATAATGATTACAGGGCAAGAAGGCAATGATGAAGTTCAGGAACTTCACGGACAATTCACAGGAAATGAATTCATATCTACTTCCGAACATTAACAATTACCTGGTGCCTATTCCTCCTCCATCACATCCTCATGGTAGAAAAATCACAAGGGAAAATAGACCTGAAACATGGAGAAGGAGACAATTTCGTCCAACCACAGCTCCAAATGACTTTGAACCAAACATTAATGCTGTTGGGGTGATTATGAAATTTTCTTTTATTAATTAAGCACAAAATACACTGCACTGTATTTTTTTTAACTGAATCACTGTGAAATACAGTTACAATGCTTTCATGTTTGAGTATCAGTCATACAATGATCAAACACCCATCCCTCCACCAGTGCACATTCTCCACCACCAATGTCCCCAGATGCTCCCCCCCTCCCCTTGCCAATCCTCTCCCTGCCTCCATGGCAAACAATTTTCCCCATACTCTCTCTCTTTTGGGCTTTATGGTTTGCAATACAGACACTGAGAGACTATCACGTTTGGTCCTTTATCTACTTTCAGCACACATCTCCCATCCCAAATGATTCCTCCAACCATCATTTTCTTAGTGATACCTTCTCCATTCCAGCTGCCTTCTCCCCCAGCTCATGAGACAAACTTCCAACTGTGGGGCAATGTTCCTGGCCCTTGTGTCTACTGCCCTTGTGTGTCAGTCTTATATTACGTTATTCTATATTCCAAAAATGAGAGTGCACTGTATTTCTAGCTAAATACATAGTAAAATAATTTGTGAAATTAAATGATATATGCCCCACATATAGAAATATAATAATTTTATCTGTGTCACTGTAAATCTTGGATGAGTCTGAAAAGAAATGATTTTGAGTAGTTCAGCTGAACAGACTAATTTAACACAACTGATTTTTTTTTAAATCCTGGTAAATCTTGTGGTCAAACTAAATTTGTATTATACATATTTTTACATGGTTTTTCTTATAATTTTTCAATTCAAATGTGTTTTATCAGAAGTATTCTAACATTTAATTGTGAAAATACCAGAACTTAAGTACATCTTCAAAGCATAATATTCTACACACAATCTTACTAAAAGTTACTTTAGAATTTTTTAAAAGTTGCTATATAATATTTACTAAACATTTTTTTTTGTAGGAGTACTGCTATTATTCAGCCACTGATTAGTCTGATTGAATTGGGCATGAACTCCACCTTATTTTTATTTTGTTTTTCTTTTTCCTTTTTTATAATTTTATTTATTGAATCACCATGAGAGCAGTTATAAAGCTTTCGGGTTTAAGTCTCGGTCATACAATGAAACACCCATACCTTCACCAGTGCCCATTCTCCATCACCAAAAACCCCAGTACTCCATCCCACACCCTCCCCCTACCTGTGGGGCAGATGATTTCCACATTACTCTCTCTCTACTTTGATTACATTCAATATTTTGACACCAGACCCACCATTATCATTTAGGATTTTACCCCAACACTCAGATCTGCTGAAAAGGCAACAGTAAACAATTTGTTTTCTATTGCTCGTTATGAATAACATACGATGTCGTGCAGCTGCAATAGTGGCCACATGATTTTGAAATTCCTAAATTTTAACAATTAAATCTGGAGGGATTTCTGCCATAATCTGCTGGGTTCTGAGATTTGTTTCTGAGCCTCTGGGATCATGGCTGTTAAGCAGCTTGATCAGGAGCCAGAGAGGCCATTCGTGGTTGGTGACTCGGTCTCATTGGGATGGGGAGGAAAGGGCCGGCTCCACCCCCATCCCATGAGGCCCCTCATGTCTCATCACTGTGGGCCCAAACCTGACTGTCCTGTGGCCTCTGGAGGATGGTAGCCACCAGGTCGCCAGGGGGAACAGGCCAAGGCACAAAACCTATTCCCACCTGGGGTGACCCAACGCCAGTAAGCTATTCAGGGACTGGATGCATTTCTGCCAAAAGCCGTTGGGTTCCGAGATTTGTTTCTGAGTCTCTGGGATCATGGTCATTAAGAGGCTTGATCAGGAGCCAGAGAGGCAGTTCATGGGCGGCGACTCGAGGTCTCATTGGGACGGGGAGGAAAGGGCCGACTTCACCCCCATCCCATGAGGCCCCACATGTCTCATCACTGTGGGCCCAAACCTGACTGTCCTGTGGCCTCTGGAGGATGGCGGTCACCGGACCGCCAAGGGAAAGAGGTCCAGGCAGGAAACCTATTTTGACCTGGGGTGGCCCAGCATCAGTAACCTACTGCAGGGACCACATGCATTTCTGCCAAAAGCCTTTGGGTTCTGAGATTTGTTTCTTAGTCTCTGGGATCATGGCCATTAAGCGGTTTGATCAGGAGCCAGAGAGGCTGTTCATTGGTTGTGACTCAGGGTCTCGTTGGGGTGAGGAGGAAAGGGCCGACTCCACCCCCATCCCATGAGGCCCTGCGTGTCTCATCACTGCAGGCCCAAACCTGATTGTTCAATGGCCTCTGGAAGATGGCGGCCACTGAGCCGCCTAGGGGGAGCAAGTGGAGGGACAGCACCCTTTCCCTCCGGGGTGGCCCAGTGACAGTAACCTACTGCATGGTCTGGACTCATTTCTGCCAAAAGCCACTGAGTTTCGAGATTTGTTTCTGAGTCCTGGACTCATGGCCATTAAGCAGCTTGATCAGGAACCAGAGAGGCTGTCCATGGGCGGCAACTCGAGGTCTCGTTGGGGTGAGGCGGAAAGGGCCGGCTCCATACCCATCCCGTGTAGCCCTATGTGTCTCGTAACTCCAGGCCCAAACCTGACTGTCCAATGGCCTCTGGAGGATGGCGGCCACTGGGCTGCCGGGGGAACAGGCCAAGCCATGAAACCTATTCCCACCTGGGGTGGCCCAGTGCCAGTTACCTACTGCAGGGACCAGACGCATTTCTGCTAAAAGCCATTGGGTTTAAGATTTGTTTCTGAGTCTCTGAGATCATGGCCATTAAGCAGTTCAGTCAGGAACCAGAGAGGCCATATCTCCAATTATATAGCTGAGCAGGAGGTGGTTTATGGGTATGTCTCCCATATACCTAACTTTTGTCTGTTTACTTTCTTGGTAAACTTTGCCCCAAGTTTTTGTGGTCTGGACAAATGCACAGCAGCAATTTTGGGGAATCTGGAAGTCTGAATGCGCCATCAGGATGCTTATGCACTCTCCTCACAGGTACCAGTTGACCTGCTGGCAGTACCATACACCCGAAATCATTTCTTTTAATGTTCTTAAAAATATTACTTTCTGTTACAAATGTTTTTCTCAAAATACTGATAGAAGAAAATAGGTCTAAAGGTCACTTAAATTTTATAGAGATATAGACCACTACTACAAGATGCAAGAGTACTTTATTTTTATTGTGTACATATATAGCTAATAGTAATTAAATGCAACTGTTGTGATGATTAGATAGTCATATTTCCCTGATAGAGCCATGTAGTTAAATACTGGTGTGCATGTAGACCATATGCTGCTAGGAGTAGACCCTGGTGTGGCCCTCCACTTATAAACTAAACACCAGGATCAGAGCAATGGTACAGCAAATAGGGCTCTTGCCCCACAGGTACCCGATACCCTATATGGTTTGCCTAATCCCACCAGGAAAAATCCCTGAGCACAGAGCCAGAAATAAGCCCTGAATACTACCAGGTATGGCCCAAAAGACAAAATCAAAATAAAAACCAACACCACTCTCACCCATCTGTGCATTGTTTATGCCATGTTTACATCTCACCATTCGTCTTCCCATCCCCTCTGCCAGCAATTATCCACCAATATTCTCCTCAGAAACCTTGGGTTCTCTTTGCTGTGCTTTTCAAATTTGCTCCTTTCTAGTCTACATTAAACAAGTCTCTTATTGGTGTCTGATAAAGTATTATATCCTTCATTCTTTATTTTCCTTCTCTCTGTGTCCTGGATCATATACTTCTCCTCTGCCTATGGATTCTTGTGCTGTCATTCTCCTCTCTAATTTGCATTCTATATTTTCTTTAATATTTCTCTTTCTTTCTCTCAATGTATGGGTATTGCATAGAGAAACCAAATTTTTATATTCTTTAGCCTCATTCTTCTGTTTTTATTCTTCTGATGCAGTGTTTTCTGAATAATAGTTTGCTCTAGCTTAATTTAAAAAAAAACAAAACAAAAAAATAAGCAATCCCAGATAAAGTAGTTTATTGGTTTCTTGTTCATATTATCATGTTTTATTGGTCAGCTACAGTTCTTGTACTCACATGGTGGTTCCTGTCTCAGGTATATTATCTCCATGGATAGAAGAATCATTGTATGCATCAAAGATTTTGCTTAGGAGTGTAACATGTCATTTAAATTCTATTTCTTGCTGGCATTGGTCTCTGCAAACCAAGAAAAAAGCTAACTTGAGGAATGAGATTTCCCACTTAGCAAAAATAGTGACAGTTTCCTCATTCTTCATGGTGGCAGCTTTTGATTTTCTTATATCAAAGCATTCTGAGATAAACCCTGACTTGTCTATACTTAGGAGAAGGTTCAAATAGCTCATAAATTCACAAAATATATAAAATCCATGTGTATAACTTGATAGTAAATAACATTACCAGGTACATGCATGGAACTAAATATTAACAAAAATTAATATTCTACAGTCATAAAGGGCTTGAGTGATAGCACAGAAGGTATAGCATTTGCCTTGCATGCAGAAGACCCAGGTTTGATCCCTCTGTCCTTCTCGGACAGCCTGGCAAGCTACCGAGAGTATCCCGCCTGCACGGCAGAGTCTGGCAAGCTCCCCATGGTGTATTCCATATGTCAAAAACAGTAAGAACACATCTCACAATGGAGTCGTTACTGGTGCCTGCTCGAGCAAATCGATGGACAACGGGAGGACAGTGCTGCAGTGCTACAGTCATATTTTGATCCCCATTTTCCTATTGACAGCATCACAACCCCAACTACTACTTCCTAAAGCAACCACAATACTGAATCTACATCAATCAAGTCCTTTTTTTTTTTAAGTATGTCACTTCTCTGGATGAACCTTTAGAAGTAAGCTTAACCCTAATATCAGGAATGGAAATGAAAGTATTTCCAGGAGAATTTAAGCAGAATAGGATTTTTGATATCCTATCAAGATCATACCTGGGTTTGGTTTCTTGACTTTTTAAAGGTCTCCTCTGGAGAAGTAAGAGAGGCCAAGTCATGAATGTGCACTAGAAAAGTGGGGTTCTGTAGACCTCAGCATCTG